TTTTATATAATATTCGAGAGATTTCATCAGATCGATCAGGAATAAGTGAAATAGTAAAAATAAGAACATGAATTTTATACTGAAATATTTTTATTGCTTTTGTTTATTACCGTGTATTTTGCATGAAATTTTATTTGGGTTGAGAGAACGAAAATACTTATTGAGTTGGTGAAACTCAATAAATTTTATTTTGATATTTTTCAGAGGAGAATGAAGAGTCAGCACCACTGGCAGACGAGTAGAATCTGTAAAGTAGTTCTTGTTTTTGTATATTTTGTGCATATTCAAAAAAATTTGTTTTGTTCAATTAGATTATAAATTTTGACCTCATATTTTGTATATATAGTTACTTTATATATCACATGAGATGTTAGGTTGTATTATATTTTTTGATCTACGAATGTATATATTTTATGGGTCTACTGCATGAAAATGACATGAATAAGAATTAATGTTTCATATCGAATATTGGGGCGTGGCATAATTTTTTATAAAAGTAATTTTTTCACAAAAAAATACAAAATATAAGTAAAAAGATGAAACACATTACTACGATTGATATATAAAAGCTTCAGCTCAAAAAATTGATTGAGAAGGTTGGTAATGAACTACACTCTCTCCAACCCAAAACTATATGTAAAAATGTTTAGATTTATCATAATCAAACCCCACAAATTTGCCATGTGATATTTCTTAATTCATGATGAATTAGAATTGCACTCTTAGCATTTGGTGTAATGCTAGCTCTGAGTACAAGATGGTAGGAAATTTGTTTACTGGTGCCAAAGGTTAACAAGTATTCATACTGAAAACTGACTAGAGAACTGCGTTAAATTTTTTTTTCTTATCATACTTCCCAAAAATTCGGAAATTTGATGGTATATAATTTGCGTATATAAGTCTACCTAAATGATAAGATTATTAATGAAATCTAAAAGAGTGTAAGAATGGCTATGATCCAGTTACCTTATATTGTGTGTTATCTATACTAATAAGTGCAAATTAATTTGCTTAACAAATATCTTGATTTAGAATTTGAGAAGTTTCTAAGCTAGTGTATGAAATATTCTCTAGCTACTAATTTAGAGGCTAAAATTTAATTATAGGAAAGCATAAAATGAGAAAATTGAAGAGAGAAAATGCAGCAGTTAATTTCCTTTTTTAGATAGCTATTTTCTTGACATTGAAACTGATAATTAAGCTAAGCTGGTGAAAAGTTACTTGCACCAATTCATCAAATGAGTGATATGTATCTTTCTGAAAGCTTACAGTCCTAGGAGATAACAGCTAATTGATATACTTTATTTTTTCAGGTATTAATTAGATCCAGGATTCTGTGACCTAACTTAATCACATAAAACATATTTAATTAGTTTCTATAAGAGGAGGAAAAATGAAACAAAAAGAGAAGCAGACCAGCAGAGTGGCAACTGAGTGAAAAGGACTAAGATCTCAAGCAACTGGGCAAGTTCCAAAGAATAAAACAACAATTGGGGTTGGAGGGATAGAGTAAATATCCAACTTAGATCACAAAAACCCTAATAATGAGATACTTGACAGTAACAGTTCCATGTTCCATGGTAAGCCCCCAGGGTACAATGATACCCAGGAGAGGTCCCTAACCCTGCACGGGGACCATTAGATTTTACAATGCGCCCATCTTATCAGCACAAACATATATATAATCAAAGCAAACAAGAGCACAGACACATATATACTCCTGATTGTCCTCAATCGTATAAAACCCAGTTCATCTTTTTTTTTTCTTAATTCACTAATGTCTAACATTAATGAAAATGGGTATATAATCTTAGGAACTATATTTCGTATAATACTAATATTAACATTCATATTATGTATATTTATCCTTTTACCAAGGCAATGTCTCTCAAGTCTCAAACTTACCCAAACGACCCTCCATCCACACCCACAAATTAACAATATTTGTACAAACATATATAGCCCTCTCTCCTTTTAAAGTCACGAGACCCACTGAGTCTTTGTTGTTTCAATTTTTGGAGAGAGAGATGAGTGCAGAGAGGGTGGCAGAGAAACTGATAGAGAACTTTCAAAGCCTCTTTTTCTTCCACCTTCACTCAACTAGCCTCTATATTGCAGTCTCTCAAACTGAAGTCATAATTTTCTAAAGCTTTAGTTATCTTCCCATCTGAAAGATCATTGTTTGCCCCTCAATATATATATTTTTTTCTTCTGTCTTTCTCTGTCGGTACCATGTAGGTCTTCTTCTCTCTTCTCTTTTCTTTATCTCAATACTGATGTCATCTCCTCACCAACTTTTCCTTTTGGCTCTTATTTGCAGGAGACCGGAGAGGAACGTTAACCCTTTGGACCTCAACAACTTTCCCGACGACTTCGCTAGAGATGGTAAACAGCTCTTTGAGGACACCTCTTCGTCTGGTATTTCTTCCTCTTAATTTCCGTTTATGATAGAAAAAACCTGTTTTTTGTTCTTTTTTGTGTGTGATTTAGTTTAATAATCATTAGTTTAGTCACAAGAGAAAAGTATTTAAATATCTAAATATTAAATATTAATACAAGTGAAAGGAGGGATCCCCTTGATTTTATGCCTTTAATAACCACAAACACACTCTTCGAAGCTACCTACTTAGGCTATTCCATTTACATACAAGCTTAAAAAAGAGAGCCAATGCTTGTTTTGTTTGCATTAAATGGTAAACAAGATAAAAGGAGTTTAATGTTTATAGAGTAATTAGGCAGCAGGTATAGTCTCATCGAAGTTGCTTTAATTGTTGTTGGATTTTAATGGTTGCAGGCTATAGGAAAAAGAAAAGCGGCGCTAAGGATGGGAAAGATGAGTGTGGGAAGGTCTATGAGTGTAGGTTCTGTTCCCTTAAGTTTTGCAAGTCACAAGCTCTTGGGGGACACATGAACCGCCACCGACAAGGCAAGCAAGCTTCACTCCCAATTCTTTTTTTTTTTTTTCTCTTTCAATTAATACATCATACATGCTAACGAACATCATTTTGAGAGTGAGGAGAAAGAGCTCAAGTACTCAAGTTTTTAACTTTTGCCTCATAGTTTACTAGCCTACTTTTATTAATTTAAGCAAAAATGGTGACCACTGCTGGTTGTTATGCGCACAATGATTTGCGTGGTCTTTTCAATCTTGAGGAAAACTAAGTTGGGTCATGGGTGTCTGTTGCGTTTTTTCAGCTGAAATTCTTGGTGGATGTTTTTGGTGTTGAGGTTGATTTGATTTGATTTCTTTCTTTCTTTTTTTTTTGGATGGTCAGAGAGGGAGACAGAGACACTGAACCGGGCTCGTCAGCTGGTTTTCAATAACGATAACTTTGCCGCCCAAGGGACCCCTCACCTAGGGTAAGTTTCCTTATCCTCTATTCTAACTCTTTGTTTCCTTGAATATCATTCTTCATACACCTCTCCTCCAACTTCATTTTCCACTTGTTTCTTTTTGTTGTTGGCTCAGAAGAAAACTCAAGTGACCCAGATGCTGTCTTGAACCCCCCAACCCCCCCAAAAAAAAAAAACTACAGAATATAATTAATAAGAATATCTGCTTGGTCGTATACCTGGATAATTATTCATCAAACAATTAAGACATAAACTGTTCAATCTTTGCAGATACCATGGAGCAGGTCCCATAGGAGACCAAACACTATACAGAGCCGTGTATGCACCAAGATTGTTCCCTGGTTCCTCATCTACTGTCTTGCCTCCACCGCCACCACAACCATATCTATATCCCTCACCTTCACGACTCACCTCTTACCACGCACAATACCCTCAACACCCAGCAGTGAATCATGACTACTATGTAGGGCATGTCCTTAGTGGTGGTAGTAGCAGTAGCTCGCATCAAAACCTAAACTATATGGGTGCTAGTGCCGCACCAGAATCGAGTTACACCTGCATTGGTGCACCTGTAGGACATGGTGGGTTCAACCCTGGCCCGATCAGAGGATCGGAGATGGCAGGATCATTAGTGGGTGGTGGTGGAGATGGGTCACTGAGCAATCAGGAGGAGACCTTGAGTTGGGGTAGGAGCTACGCGGCAGGCGGGTCATCACAGCATCGTAATTTGGATCCCCCTCCATCGATCAATCGATTTCAAGACGGGTTTTAGTATATTTATTTTCCTTTAGTTTCGTTTTTTTCTTTTAAGTTTTTGTTTTCTTTAGCTTGTGATTTTGTTAGTGATCATGAAGTAGGGATTTAATCTGGTTTGACACGCCACCCAGAGATAGAGAGAGACTTAACAAGCTGACAAATGGGGTCATGCGAGGAAGGAAAGATAGAGAAGTTTTTGGTTTATGTACAGGGATTGGGCCAGCTTTTTTGAGCTCATGTACACTCTCAGCTACTTTGGCGTGGAGCTGTGGTGTGAAATTGAACTTGAACAAGTGTAGTCAAAAGGGTTTTGTGATTTATTGTTTTTGAGATTCTTGAAACCTAAACCCAACCCTTGAGTCAAGGAAAAATGAGTGGGTGTTGGGGAACTAGAGATCTGAATGGGAGATGAAACTGCTAGTTACATGTGAACTGAAACTTCCTAAACTCTTTTTCTCATTTGGAGTTACTTTTGCATGGCAAGTGTTTATTTATTGCTTATTTTATATTGGTTGTGAGTTTTGGTTTTTCTTTTGATTTCCTGCTGTAGCATGCCCTTATCATTACATATTTGACCGATCGAGGAGAACCGAAAAGCCTACCAAAATGGATGTTCTTGTTTTTTTGAGACATTTATGTTTACACAATGCCTGCACAAAACGGGCAATGACCTAGAGAGAAGTGGCTTCATCTCCATTCAATTCACGGCCTTTTTGCTGAAAGTTTTCTGACCAGAAACAATCAACTCTGTCAAGAAAAAGTCTGTGAGATCAGTGATTTTCACTGGTCATTTATCTTTTGTGTGTGTTTCCATCTTAGCTACTTAATCATAACTAGTTTAGCTTTATGTTCTTGGTATATCTATGTGTGTGTGTGTGTGTATTACAATATTCACCGTCCTCAAGTTAACCCTTTCATCTCTTCTCTTCCCTTCTCCCATATATTCTTCTCCATATATCTAACAGAATCTTCTTTTATTTGCAAAAACCTGCCATCACTCATTATATTTAGTGACATCAAATAAATGTTAGTAGGTAACGTGTGTGTATATATATATATATATATATTGACTGTTTTCTTTGACAGGATACTTGGGAGGCTAAGGTAGTTTCGTAGTATTATAAGAATTCACGACCAGTAATAGGTTAAAATTTGACTGTGGGTTAATGTACTTTAATGAAGTAGTATTATAAGAAAATATAGTTTCGTAGTTAAAATTTGACCCAGAATAGTTATAGGTTAAATATGCTTCAACAATGCAATACTGTTATTTGAAACACATGCACACTCATGGGTTTATATCATCAAGTAGGCACTAACCAGCACGTGCTCATTATATGGATCTGGTCTCTTGCTTCCTGTAGGACTTACACCATTTAATTTAAAATTATTAAGATATTTTTTTTAATCATAAAGATATTTTTTTTAAAAAGTATCTTTATGTTATTTGAAAATTTGAACATTTGGAGGAAGTGTATAATAT